TGTGCCACACAATTCACATCTGTCCTTTCATTTCACATTCCGACCAGGAGACAGATGAGATCCAGGTGACAGCTGAGCAAACTGAAGCTCCTGGGAACTGACAGTTTGTCCCAGGGTCACGGGACCAGTAAAGGGTGGAGAAAGGAATAGAATCCTGGCCCACAAATACACCGAAAACAAGACAATGTTATTAAAGCCTGGCAAATCCTCTTGCCTGTGAAAACCTGCTCTATGTATTTGTAAAAGGGAGACTGGCTAGCGTAGGGAGGCGTTTAAATCAACCAACCCCAAACTGAGACTTTCTCCTTTAGTTAAAATGACTGAGAGAGATTTGAAAAGCAAATAACTTTCCATGTCACTTAATGCAGTGTCAGCGGCCACCTAAAATTCCCCAAGGTGCAAGTCGCCCTTGAAAACCCATACCTAGCATCACTTCTTTCTTCTCTATATGGCACTGACTCCCCAAAAGCAGCTGAGGTAACTTACAACAAAGCACACCCACAGGCCAGGCGAAGTTTTAAAGAGAGAGATTATAATTCGTTTAGGGGAAAAGACAAGGCGAAGGGGGACGCGGGTTGACTACTTCCACTAGGTGAACACTAACCTTGGCTCTGAGCTTCCTGGCAGCCAAGGCAAAATGGAAACACAGCTGCCAACAAGGCCTTCATCATCTGCTGGAAGTGGGCATGTCCATTTGTCCAGAGGGGCCAACTGTTTCCAAGGCCTGACTTTCAGGCTGATAGAAGGTTCCCTGAGTAACCTAGCAAGCGACACCCCTGAAGGTGATGAGGCGGTTATGAGAAATAGTCCTTTGTGTGGTCTCCAAGAATCCCCAGGACATGCGACGGCACTTTCATGGGGACACTGAGCTCCAAGAGCTGGTCATCATTGTTTCCTAGTGATCAGAACTCAGAGAACTCAGGTGTCCCAGTCACCTAGTGCTGCTGTAACAGAAATCCCACAAGTGGACGGCTTTAACAAAGAGAAATTTATTGTCTCACAGTCTAGGAGGCTACGAGTCCAAACTCAAGGTGCTAGCTCCAGGGCAAGGCTTTCTCTGTCGGCTCTGGGAAAAGTCCTTGTCATCAATCTTCCCTTGGTCTGGGAGATTCTCAGTGCAGGGACCCCAGGCTCAAAGGATGTGCTCTGCTTCTGGCTCTGCTTTCTTGGTGGTACCAAAAAAAAAAA